TTGAGGGACTAAAATGGTAATTTAACTGTAAAAATATAAACATTTACTCAAATTAAGTTCAATCTCTATTAAACGCCAAGGTTTCAAAGTATGAATTTCCCATCTTAATTTGTCATCGTCAATTTTAACTCTACAAAGCATATTAACATAAGTATTATGATAATCAATATCACACTAATCTTCAATATTCCACTTTGGCCCCTAAATTTGCATTCTAAGCATTTAAGGGAAATTAAGGGCAAATTTGAAATTAAGAGAAGTGTATATCTAAAGTGTCTTTCAAGTCAAACTACACTTTAAAAGTGAAGTTCGACTACTAAAATTATATTAAAATGCCTTTAATGAAACCTTTTCTTAGATTTATTCATAAAGGATAACTTAGTGATTTCAGTGTTAGATTACACTTTTAATATGCAGTCCAAACTGAAATACAAGAATCTCTATCTCGCTTTATATATATACATATATATATATTTCAAAAACTAGCCATTAAATTAAAAGTTTTATTCATATAGATCATACATATTAATTTTCAAATTGATCTAGTAAGGTTTAAATAATTTGTTAATTACGCAAAATTTAACATTGTTAAATATATTTTATTAAATCGATTGTTGACCTATTATGATTTAACTTAAACATACTCGATTTTTAAACTATAAAAATTCACATATAAATGAGTTCTCTTATTAATTCGTTTAATAGTTCATTTACCATTAGTATATAAGGTGGTGGCTTTTACCTATTTATTTTTAATTTGTAAAGATATGCATCCTCAAATTTAGAATTTGAGGAATCTCAACATAAATTACCAAAGGAACATAAAAAATTATATAGTTATAACATCATGTGTAGGGGTAAAGGGAAGGGGTGAGAGGGGGTAGTCACCTCCCCTCAACTTTTGAAAATTTGCAAAGTTAGTACATATCATTTTTTCTTCTTTCAAAGTTTTTAAATATTAATTTTTATCATATGAAACTTTAAGTTATTATTATTTAACTCTTTATAACTAATAAGAGCTTAACTGAATTAGTATGCACTAATTTAAAACCTTGATTTGAGATTAAAGTCTGTTGTAAAGCAACTAACTCTTCGAGGTATAAAACAAGACAAAAAAAAAAAAAACTCTTTATAATTTTCATACTTGGCAACTCAAAACTAATATAATTTATAATATTTTTATTATAATAATCATTGAAATACAAACAAAAAAAAAATAAAGAACTTAATTAAATGTTTTTCAAAAAATGAAAATATTATAATCTAAATAAATGAATATATTGCATGTTGAATAATTTAAGAATCAAGGCTCCTAATTAATCATAAATTCAGAGATCTTCTCTCTTTAAGTTTTTTACTAGTGTTAGGATTTTATTTTATTTTTTCATTTATTTTAGAAAGTGATTTTAATTAACAAAAACTTTAGTTTATAAAAATGTTTGAATTTTTATTTAGTCAATGATTTTAGTTTCAAAAAAACTAAATTACATGTTTTCTCTTTTATATTGTTTAATTTTTTGGGATGGGAAAAGATAATTTTTAATTAACAAAACAATAAAAAAAATAGACATTTTGAGATAAAAAGAGTATAATTTTGAAATGACTTGAATTAGTTGATTTATTTTTAAGTATTATCATAGTGATGCTTGTTTCTTATTTTAATAAAATGATTTATTTAATATAAAATTATTAAAGATATGAGATGAAGAAAATTTATTAATTTTTAAACTTTGCTAAGATTCTCATAAGATAATAAAAGGAAAAATAAAGAATCAAAATTAATTTTTTTTTTAAAACAATTTACTAATATCATAAAAATATTTACTCCTTTTGTCCCCAAATAACTATCTTTTTTGACTTTAAGTTTATATTAAATTTTTGGTTAAAACCCCATTTTGATCCCTCAACTATTGTATGAACCCCTGATTTAATCTCTGAACTAAAAAAATCTCTAATTTGATCCCTATTATTTACCTTTTTAACCCCAACTTGGTCCTTATGTTAAAAACTTGCCTACCTATATAGTTAATTGACGGGAAAATGATGACATGTGAATGTATCTTGACATGTAGGACTGATAATGTGATAAAAATACATGACCTATAATTTTTAGTTAAAAATTAAAGGTTAAATTATAAATAAAACTAAAATTACGTTTTTACCATCATCTTCAAACACACATTACTTTCTTTCCCTTTTTCCTTTCATTTTCCCTTACTTTTCATCTCCAACGTTGTTTATCTTCTTCCCCTAGATCCTTGTTTACTGGCTTAGGTTTTAATCATCTCTTTATCATCTTTTTCCTCATCTCATCTCCTCCATCTATCGAGAACCCAACGATCTGTTGGGTTGGGTTCGAACCCAGCGTTCCGCTAGTCCTTGAGTTTTAATCATCTGTTGGGTCCGATCAAGAACCTAGTGATCTGTTGGCTGCATGCAGGTCCTTGAGAACCCAGCGATCTACTAGGTTGGGTTCGATCGAACCCAACGATCTGCTGACAGCCATCATATATCAGCATCTGTTTGATCAATAAAGCTTGACAGTGCAATATCAAATTTGCATTCCTCATCCATGTTTTTCATCTCATTATTTGAGAACTCTCTAATTTTTGTCAGAGAACTATTAAGTTTTGACACTGTAGTAGTTAAGGCATCAACATCAATAACTGCTGCCTTCTTAACATCTTGAAGTTCACTGCTCGAAACTGAAACAACTTGAAGACCAAGGTTGCAACAATGTTCGTCCATGTCTTGGCTAGGATCTTCAACAAAATCTACCGACTTGAAATTGGATAGGCTTTGGCTTGCTTTTAAATTCTGAACAGCCCTTATGCCCTCACCACGAATGATCTCTTGAACAACGAAGTGTAGGAGTGTGGTCTTACCATCAGCTCCTTTTACATCAGACAGCTTCAAAAGAGTGTCGAGCTTAAATGCCAATGCACCACCACGATAGGTTCCATCATTCATGCGGTTACCAATTTTGAGCACTGCTTCTAAAAGCCTTAGGAATAATCTGCTGCTTTTTAGTTCGTCACAAGCTACCTGCCATTGAGACAAGACCAGCATTAATGACCATGACCACCTTGCCTTATATTTAATAAACATAAATAATAATCTTTCATAACACTATTTTGTAGTTTGGACTGCAAAACACATTTTTATAATCTATATAACAACTGTAATCTTACAATAAATTCCTAGGAAATATTTGACGAAGATAACATTAAACTTCCTATCTTTCTGTTATTAACAAGCAGAACATCTGAACTAGCAACAAATCAACAAGCAAAATTCAAAACAAAATTTTCTTCATCACTTTGTTGAGGAGAAAAATACAAGTAATCTTTGAAAGATGGCTGAAAATTAAAAAAAAAAAAAAAAATCTTTGACAAGGTTCTTTTGGCCAATAATGTAGAAAATCTTCGACAATTAACCTTTTTTAGGATCTCACCTCAAGAGTTTTAAAGGATTCTTTAACACCACAAATTTCCTCCTCTAGTGAACACATGAACAGCAAAGACTCTATACGTTTAAAAGCAAATGGTATCTCAACCAAGACTTTTAGGAACCGCTCGGCAGTACCTAACAGAGCAAGATCGCCTGTGTATAACCTAAGCTTTAGTTCCTCTTCCTATGCTGGTGCCATCTTCAACAAAGTAGAAAGGAGCTTTGCTGGAAGCTCATTACCTGATTCAAGTTTATGAAGAATAAGCTAGATCAATAAACCAGGAAAATTGAGAAACACTTGACTTGAATATTATCAGTATAGATGAATAAGAATAATAATATTGACTCTCTTTTATTTTTCAAGCATGTATTCATAATCAACTTCAACATGCATTCCTCTGTTGAAAACTGTGAAAGTGTCAGCATTCATGATGATGGACAGAAAGGTTAACTGGATCTCAAAACCATAACCACCCATAAAATCTTATTGGTTTTTCTTTTTTTTTTTTTTTTTTTAATTTTTATTGACAAGAAACTAACACATCTTTTCAGGTGATTAATATTGTCAAGGAAAAAAAATTCCTTGAAAGGAAATCCAACTTGAAGCTGCATCATTACAACCAATCATGGCAGAGACATTGATGACAGAAGAACTAATACAGTAAAATTCTATAACTAATTATTTTCTGTAATAACAGAGGAACGAACTATCAGAAAGCAGTTACTAAGGGTGCCAAGGTTCAAAACAGAAACTAGATGAGGTACCAAAAAAGTAAACCAAAGGAAATAGATACATGCATTTACCCAGGTATGAATCAACTTGCGTTCCTAATATTGTTACCAATTAAAGAAAATAACGCATTGACTTATCTGAATATAAGTAAGTTAAACCAAAGAAGTCATTAACAAAGAAGCTTTTTTTTTTTTTAATGTGTCTGAATCAGAAGCAGGACTGAATGAACTGGCCAAGGAAACTCTAGTTGACCAAATATATATATATATATATATATATGGGTAGAGAACCACTTACACACGTCTTACACATTCTATTTATATAAAATCTCAATAATTCATCTCTTCACTTTCAATGGTTAAGATTTATCATGATTTTTTAGATGAAAAAGATAATTATATTTAATAAATGTGAAATCATTGAAAGTGAAGAGATGAATGTTCAAGATTTTGTATAAATGTGGTGTGAAAAACTTGTGTATAAGTAAATCCCTACTCTACATATATATATATATGCAAGATTTTTAGAGAATTTTAGGGTGGAAAAGCAATGAAGAGTATCAACACTTAATTAGAGAGCTAACTTTCAAATTAAACCTCTACTGATCAGATTTCATACATGCATGGTATTTCTCTGTGTCTGTGTATGTGCATTGCACACGTGTGTTTGTGTGTATGTGTGTTTGTGTGTGTATATGTGTGTGTGTGTGAGAGAGAGAGAGAGACCCTCTTGCAGGGCATCAACAACTTCTGTTGTCGTGACATTCAGTGGTCATAGAAGAATAGACAAGTTTTGCGCTTTCCTTGTGTCAATAATCTTAATATACTGAATTGAAGGCTCTGATGGATCTTTCCTTTGGTCATTTTTGGGGTTATTCATAGCAGAATAACCAAATAAACTCTCTATCATCTCCTCATTGAACCTGTGAAGGTTTTAATGCAATTTCTCATCATGAGGAAAATTTCACAAGTTATCAATGAATAACAATATTAATGTAAGGTATATAGCCTTACTGGGATGATCCACCACTAATCTCATGCCAGACCATTGAGTGATCCGGATTAGCAAGAACCTTGTCCTAGAAAAATGGCTTCAACTTGGTTTTTGAAGCATCAGATTCACCAGATGCCTCACCCCCACTACTAGCAGCACTATTACCACGATCATGTGGTATGGGAGGCATAGGTTTTGATTTAGGTGGCATAAGAGGACCATCTTTAGGAGGTGGTGGCGCATGAGGGCCAGAACGAGGTGGTGGTGGTGGTCCAGGAGAGGGAGGAACTGTTGTTCAGGGAGGAACTGTTGTTCCCGGAGGGGGTTTTAGAGGAGGACTTACTTCAGCAGTTGCTTCCAAGGACTCTGCCTCAGCCAATGTGGAATCAAGATTATCATGCTTGGTTGACAAATTGCCAAAATGTCTAGGGTTATTTATGCTGTTAATATATAAGTCTTTGCTACTAGAATTTCCTAAAGTCATACATTTCTGGGAAGAACCTAAAAGATCAAAAACTTCAACTGTTTGTGAAAAAGAATTAGAAACAGAAATGATCATGTAACTAAATAGTACAAAACCAGCTAGGTCATACCATCAGAGAAACTACTTGAGCTTAAGTCAAGAAGAGGTCTCTCATCTTTACGTGCATCTCTAGAGCCCGATCTGTTCCTACTGCACTTTAGACAACAACAGAAGAGCATGCAACAAGGGTAAATGTTGAAGCTGCAGTTGCAACAACAGCAACTATCAATTTTCTCTGGAGATCCTCCTGCTCCTTTAACTGATGCTTCTTTTTACCATTGGCACCTGGTGGAGAATGTTTTTTGGAAGATGTATTAGATTTTGAATGTTCAGTATCTACAAATGAAGCAGAAGAGATCTTATTTGATACAAGGACTGTATGATATAATGCCCTGTCACGTCGATGCTTCCTTGGAGATAGACAATTTGTAGATGACGAATATAATTTTGCTGGATCATGATAAAGTCCTCTTCTTTCCGGTGTTGATTTAGGAGCTAGTGCCAAAGTGCCTGAATCAACCTCTTGACATGAATCACTGATTAGATACCTTATAGGAGCATTTTGCAAGTTCAAAATAAATTCAACACATTTCAAACACCAGCTAAGGATAGGCTGTGAGCCAGAATCATGAAAGACAAGACCTTTCTTTCTTAAACAAACCAAAAATGTTTCTTTCACTCGGGGAGGAAAAAGATTGATGACTTCATATACATTCTGTTCTGTCAATAATGCTGATTGCAAATTACTGGTTGCTTCTTGCAATATATATGCATTGAAATTATTACTAGCACCTTCCTTTTCAATCAAATATTTCCTGCAATAAATAAATGCCTGCATTGCATGCATATTAGAGTTTTTCATCAAAATTTCACAAGCAATATTAAAGAAAAATACATCATAAAAACTTCAGCAATAATATAATTTCAATGAAATGATTGCAAGTTTGTTATTATAACAGGTCATTAAATGAGTAGATGGATATCATGAGTGTGTCACTAAACAAAAGAGACAATCAAATAATGACACGTTATGATTGTAAGTTCACAATGCCACGTGGCATTCTAAGTATATCTTTTTCATGAAAAATTAAATTCATTTTCACCCTATAATTGTTATTTCTATATATTTACATAGGTTTTAATAGTTTATTTAGTTTTAAAATTTTGTTTCTTGAAAGAAGCTGGTATAGATTATGAAATCGAAAGGTTTTCCTTCTCTTTATTTTCTCTGTTTGCTTCATTTCGAAAGCAGCTACCAGAGATACTCCAACACACTTCAGAATCTAAAACTCCCAAATTCAGACATAATCTAACTTCACCCAAATTTCTCTATTGACATGATTGTCTCTCTTCTTTGAATTTTTTTTCTAATTTTAAATTAACACCACAACTAGGTAATTCAAGAAAGTCCTTCTGTATCATTGCTACAAACATATGTAAAGGAACTAAACCTTCAACTTATTGTCATTAACTAGACCTAACAATCATTTTATCTAAACTCAAAGCATCATGCCACCCTAATTCTTTGCATCAAAATACCTAATTATAATCCGACAATAAATCTGCTACGCATATGTAATCGGTAAAAAACTAATTAAACCTCCTGGAACTTATGAAAATCAACAAATCATCTCACCATTTTTTTGTTCATTTCCTGAGACGCACCGCTGCCACCATCTTCTGCAAAAATCCTTTCCATTGTCCTCCTCTTGCCTTCTGAGCTCCTTACCGTTAATGCCCAAATCAATATTACAAAAACAAGGGCCCAAGAAGCTCTTTTAATTTCCATTTCTCATCAAATCACCGTCCCATTGCGATGCTTTCCTTCTCATTTCATCAATCTGAGGGGTTTCAGATTAAGAGAAGGAAATCCAGAGAAATGCAATCTTCTTCCCTTTTTTCTTGGCGCTAAAGAAAAGGCCATGCACGTAGCCTAAAAACCCTTTTGTCTCTCTCGAAGAACCTTTCCTAAGCGTTCAAATATCTCTCAATTTTAACAATTCACTGACTCAAAATTGGAACATAAAAATAGAAGAAATGAATTCTCACAAAGGGAAGAACTATGCCTCCTGCAATATCTTAACGAGTAAAGGTGCAAATAAGGATTTTACCTTTGTACTTTTTTTATTTAAGAATGTTAATTTTGTCAATTTTTAAATAAAGATGTCAATTTTCAATTTTTAATTTTTTCTAAATAAGGATGTTAATTTTGTCAGTTTTTAAATAAGAATGTCAACTTTCAACCTTTTCTATTTAAGGATGTGAACTTTCAATTTTCAACTTTTTCTATTTAAAGATTAATTGAATAGTGATGCTGACGTGGTTAACATATTTTTTAGGTTAAATACTTGAATTGGTCCCTCAACTTTTATTTTTGAACCAATTCATCCTTGAACTTTAGAAAGTACCAAAAACATCCTTCAACTTCAATTTTCAATTAATAAAATTATTTCCTAATTCATGGAAGAATTAATTAAATTTTATT